CACACACACACACACACACACACACACACACATACACACACACACACACACACACGAAATACTATATTTTTAAGAAAATAAATGAATCAAACACTAAAAGTATAGCAAAAAGAAGAAAAACCTAATGAGTGAAGGAGAAGGAAGAGAAGGGGAAGAGGATGAGGAGGAGAGAGGAAGAGGAGGAGAAGGAGGTGGAGAAGAAATAATTGTTTAATAGCAAAGTACTAACTGAGCAGCTTTTCCCCAAGTCTCTGATTTTGGAGTTTGCAGGTGGAGGAGCAGTCAGCTGGGATGGCTTATCCTTCCTAAGGTTCACAGTGTTGTTGAGTCTGAGCCCATGAACTGCCAGTTATCCCAGACAGGGCTGTGTTTGTGTTAGGACCACTCCTTCTCTGCACCAGGAGCCACTGCTGCCTGTGTGCACTTAACTCTGCAATCTGTGGCCCAGGTAGGTTCTTACTGCAGCAGTCTACTGTTCTTCCTCCCCATAGGGCCCCAGCCACAGATGGCGTCCTGGATTTTGTCGCACAGCCTTTCTGCTTCTGTGCTTTTTAATCTGTGTTGCCCTTACTAATACATTTCCTCTCTTTCTCCCCTTGTTAGCTTTACTCTTCAGTCATGGTATCATAGAGAGCCAGCTTCTGACCTGACCACCTTTCCCCGAGAATAGCCTAACCCACACAGAATTATTTAGGGGGGAAAGAGTAAAACATAAATATTTTTTAGAAGAAAGAAAAATGAACTTGAAGAATGGTGTATTCTGTGATTTAGCAAAATTCCTCACATTTTTGTCTAATAATTGCTGTTGTCTCCCTGGGGTAGTGACCAAAACAGGAGGAATAGAATATGGGGGTTGTGTGTGTGTCTCCACGCAGCAATTCCAAAGACTCAAACCAAAAAAACACATTTCCCCATGAATGCCCATGGCTCCTGCCACAGCCAAAGTTGTGGCTTTGGAATGAGCTCCTATAATATCCATTTAGTCCCTAGGAAGAAATAAACGTGCAGTGCTATGTATATCACTGTGCATAACTCGAAACTGAACCTAAATCAAAGAATTGATTATTCTACCCAAGTAAAGTGTCAGAGCCCAGCTCCAACCTGTTGAAGGGTTCTTGTGGGGAGTAGAGAGGAATGAGGAACTATATAGAATATATATAGATTCTATAGAAATATAGATGGAGATGGAGAGAAATACAGAGACACGGGGTAGCGTTGCGAAGGCCCTGGGTCAATACCCAGCCATCTCAAGGTTTATTCAAAGGGGTTTTTATAATATGCCAAGGGGTGAGGCAAAAGACCTTCCCCTTTCAAGATCAAAATACAACATACAGCCAAGTGCAGACCCTTCCAAACACCTGATAAACATGCCCGTGGCCAAATCATCCCATTATGCAGCCCTGCTGGGTAAAGCAAGCTCAGAATTTCTGACCTTGAGAAAGGTCTCACTAGGAATCCCCCACAGTAAAGCCCAATGTTCCACAAGCACACATCCTGATTAGAATGGGCTATTCTAGAATATAGAGTTGACTTTTGATTCTGTAACCCAAAGTATGAACCAAGCAGGAGTCAAAACTTTCAGGTTCATTTTTTAGCACTTGCTCCCCATTAAGTATTGCCCTTTCCTGCATAATTCCTGATGTCAAACACACCCTAGAATATGCTTCCTTCTGTCCCAGCTTGTGTGTGGTCACACTCTTAACAGGAAACACACACCCTATGACCATGTTAAAATTTCCTATTCCTTGACAAACCAGATTGAGAAGCTGCCTTTCTGACTTACTGAGCTCTCACCATCAATGCTCCCTATGTTCTCTTTAGACAATCCCTCCCAAGTGGGAAGTGTTGCTGTCACAATCAAAGTCTTAGACGTGAATGACAATGCTCCAGAGTTTCCCAGATTCTATGAAGCCTTTATCTGTGAGAATGCCAAGGCTGGACAGGTAAGGTAAACCCCAGATGGACAGAGGTAACCGTTAAAGATATCTGTGGTAGTGAGGGTTTCTATCACTGTGATAAACCACCGTGACCACAAGTCATTTGGGGAGGAAAGGCTTTACTTCATTCAATACTTCCATTATTGAGGGAAATCAAAGTGAGAACTCAAGCAGGAGAGGAAATTGGAGGCAGGAGCTAATGCAGAGGCCATGTAAGAGAGCTGCTTACTGGCTTGCTCCTCATGGCTGAATGACCTGCTTTCTTATACAACCCAGAAAGGACCACCTACTCAGGAGTGATACTGCCAACAAGGTGCTGGGACCTCCCATATCAGTCATTAATCAAGAAAATGCTCTGTAGATGTGCTTATAGGCCAATCTTAGGGAGGTATTTTCTCACTTGAGGGTCCCTCTTCCCAAATGGCCCTATGTATCAAGTTGGCATAAAACTAATCAACACAAAAACTGAATTCACGATCAATAACATGTTCACACCAGAAAGTATGGATTAGAAAACAGGGTTCCCAGCTTCTTTAGAACAGGTGCCAATTATTTATTTGCTAAGACAACCACTTGGATTCTAAATTACATTTTGTGACCTGAATAGTGCTTTAACAGTACTTGGCTCACAGAATAGTATGGTTATAGGAATAACCACAGTTCTAAAAACCTTCAGGAACATATTTTTAAGGTACATTTCTAAACCTAACCTTGTATTTCATCAAATTCCAAAAGATCTGACTGAGAACCATCCAGAACTCCATTTTCAGTGGCCACATATTAATGTATTTGTCAGGTACTGCATACCCTCTACCTGTCCTTCCACATCCTCCATTCTGCTCCTGCATCTGTATGCTTCTTTCCCCTGTTAACAGTCTTGTTGTCCATCTTAGCGTATACACTGTGGTCCTATGGATTCTTACAGAGCAGATAGTCAAGATCATTTTGTTAAGGTAATTGAGGGGTTGAAGTCCACATCTGACCAGATGGTAACTCCGGCTCTGACTGCAACAAAGCTTTGCACTCTCTTCTACCACTTACCTGGAACATCACCCCAGCATCCTCTGCACAAAGCTGTATCTCTAAGACCAACACTTACCTGAGCTCTTTCAACATCCTTAGTCTAATGTCTTTGTCTTCTAGCCAAAGAAAGTGACTTTGTTTCTGTAAATCAAGGAGCCCTTCAGTGATTTAAATCCAAACTGACCTCAACACTGATTCTTAAACTTTGGTGTAATAGTCTGTATCACCCTTAAAAAATTTTTCCAAGTCTAAGATAATAGTACTTCTATACTTAGTAACTCTCTAGTCTAAGAAGGCCTAAAATATTATCTACCTAATAACAATTACAATAAAAGGCTTTATTGAACAAGGCAGCATCCATAGTAATAGCTGTAAAGAACCACATTAACATGCCTACAGTTTTGTAGATTATGTAATACATGAAGCAAGGTCAGAAAGAAGACACAGGGCAACAGTTACTGTGTTGAAGTGGACAAGTTCTGATGGGTAGGTTGGGCTTTTAAGGTTCTGACTAGGTGGTTTGGGCTTTTAAAATGATTTTTTTGCTATCATACTTTTTTATTATTATACATAATACAGCATAATTTTTATTTTACTATGAAATATGATTTAATATCAGATTTTATGCCATGACAAATAAGGCTAAATTTAGTCATGAATTTAGAGGATGCTAAATAGTACAATAAAGGAAGTCCCCTCTTTCCTTAAAATGGAACACTTTCTCTCTTGAAGGCTCTGGCAAAGAAGCTTCACTATGACAAGAGACTAACATCTTACCCACCTCTCCTGCTTCTGGAGCCATGTGTGTCCCCCACTTCTAAGGCTCTTTCTAATGGTCCTTAGTACAAATCTTTGTAGTGCAATTTATCTGTTACTTGGAGTTAGGGGACAGTGTCATAAGCCTGCTCCATTTGTCACCTTCAGCCCAAGATATGGATAACCCTAGCCTCTGATATGGACTCTGGTTTTGAAGGTTTTCAGAAACACACAGCTAAGTTATTGCTATATAAACCATCAGGTCTTCCTCTACTTGCCCAACACTGGTCATCCTCACCTCTGCCAAGTATATGCGCATGCTCTTCTCTTACAGTGGATGAAAGCCATACAAAAGTGAAATGTATGCCTGCTGATTAGAAGGCAAAGAATCGAACGTGCTGAGCAAATTATTAGACAAGTGGGGCTAAGGACTGTCAGGAAAATCCATGGTGTTCCCACCACGAACCCACCACACTGTCTACCTACCCTTCAAAGTCCCATCTCAACCAATACACACAGAGTTTTAAGATCTATCTTAAAAGTTTTCCCACTCTATTATCTATTCAAAACATTCCCTAAGAAACATTTTATCTCTTTACATTTGGCAATCAAAATTTAAAAAAAATACAGGATTTGCTTCTCCATAGAGCTAAGATAGATGGTGCCCTCAGTTGCGAGCAGCACTGACTGAGGCTGACTGTATGTGACTATTTCCACTGCTCTCCTGACCCTTGCCTTTATTACTACTCCATTCCGTCCACTTTGGGATTCAATAGTCAGGCATTCCAGGAGGCTTACCCTGAGGTGGAGTTCTGATACATGATGTTTTTGAGACCTATAAAAAGGAATGCCAGAAGGACTCAGCAAAATAAAAAAATTAAAAAGTCCAGCTGCAATAAAGATCCATTAACATCCTTACAAATTTCTAGAATAAGAGTTTTCCTAAGTTGAAGGGGGGACAGTGAAGCCTTTCTACTACCCTGCATCAGCTCATCATTGGTTGTAGGTTACCATGAAAGGATATGATAACCATGGGTAAGTTAGCTGTCTGCAGTGAAGGTGATCCCTGGAGAGACTGGAAGGTGAGGAGTAAGGAAACAAGTCCTTGGAGGATCTGAACAGTATGCAGAAATCCCTTGCTGGGCAGCGCCCTAACCTTCAGCATGATGTAAAACTCTAGGCCCTCAAGCTGACTTTTGATAGAGTCATTTCTGTCCCGGAAGAAAGACAGCCTTTCCAGCAGAAACAGCAGGCTTACAGGGCCAGGCCCAAGTTGAATAGGAACCATCAGTGCTACAGGGTGTTACAGTGGACACCAATGGAAACCAGCTCATCAAAACTTTGTCCATACCCACCCCCCAGCAACCACAGCCCAGCAACTAATGCCCCAACTGTCTATTTCATCCTGCTTTCTTTAATGGCCTCTCTATGAGTTCCCACAGCCTTCATGAAAGGTATTCCTTTGAAGAACATTGTGGGAAAGAGAACTTGGCCCTCCCTGCCAGTGAGCTTTATTTTTTATTTTATTTTTCCCAAATGAATCACACCCTCACACCTCTGACTTTAGTCTGCTTCCCACCATGGTGAGCTTCTGCTCTACACCTTTTCTAACTCCCTTCCTGCCAACAAAACATGGCTGTCCGGTAGCCCATGCCCCTCCCATCCACAGTCCATAGCTTAACACTGCCCTGTTTACTTGCCTTCTAGGTAGTGGTTATTTTTAAACAGATGCTTCTCAGAGGTGGCAATTTAGTCACAAAATACTTACTTAATGATGGGATACAGACTAAGTGAGAGGAGGAAGCGGGGACACAAAGGGCCTTGTGACACTCCATGGTTCTTTCACTTCTTCCCTTTAAAATACTTTAAAGTAACGGGGCCAAGCTGTGAGAATATAATGCATCTGAAACTTTTAGGCCACACTTATTCTTTACCTAGTAACATATGCAAGATCAAGAACATGCTTAACTAATCCTAAACTGTGTGGTGGCATGGAGAGTTTCTGGTTAGTTTCAGGACATTTTCTCATTGGGGAAATGACTTACTATTGTACTCAAAGTTTAGGCTTTCACTAGACTTTGCCTTTTCTTTTGGATCCAACTCACCCTGAACTCGTGTCCTCCTTCAGCTCATCCAGACAGTGAGTGCCGTGGATCAAGATGACCCTCACAACGGTCAGCATTTCTACTACAGCTTGGCTCCTGAGGCTGCTAACAACCCCAACTTCACTGTCAGGGACAACCAAGGTAAGCAGTGGACCTGGGGCTATCTCTGCTTTTCTACTGCTCAGGCTGGACATTTGAGTTACTAGACCATACACACAGTACCAAGTCTTCAGGCTTTCTAATAGCAGGAGGACATTAATGCTAATTTGCAATCTACAAAGTTTTGTTTCATAACATCAAAGACAAAGAGTGCCCTCTGCTGTCTCTAAAACCTTCATTCCTCCATCAGAAATGAAATATTCTTCGACAAATATTTATTGATGCTTGTTCTGTGAAAGACACTATTCAAGGCACAGTAGTAATTTTCTTCCTTTAGTCCAACTCAGACCAACTGTATTTACATTCTGAAGACAGAAACAGCCTAAGGAATAAAGTGCCCTAGAGAAAGAAATGAACCTGAAGTAACATATCTAATCAAAGATCAAAAGTGGCGGTGAGTGTAAAGCCCCCACAACAAAAGAGGCCATGTTAAAGGGTATTAATAATAATAACAAAAAATTAATAATAACAGCAACGATACTAAAGTAGCAAAGTTCAAGTACAAGAACACAATAGTATTCACAGAATTCACTGTTTCTATGGAGACAACAACTTGTAAAGTGACCTATACTGGCCTCAAATGCATGATCCTGCTGCCTAAGACTCCAAAGTGCCAATGCCATAGTCGGCCACCATTCCACCTGGCTTCAAACAACTTTAGGTTCAGGAAAATCTTATCAAGTGGGGTTCCCATTGCAAAAGCTGCTTGCTTTCCACTACATCTCTGGTGGAATTAGACTTCTAGGACCTTTCCAACAAGCATTCATTGGCAAAGGGAATCAGAGACTTAGAACATTCTTGGGACTCAAACAGGGAAAAGAGGGACTTTCATTCTCCAGCTGAATATACTCTGGGGAAGGTCACAATAACTGAAACCAAGCAGTTATTGTCAGATGCATCCCTTTGTTAATTCTGCTGCCAAATGACTTGGGTGTCCGCACTCTCACTTTCAATACCCTCATCTTAAGGGTGACTTTGTAACAATCTAATCAAAGGGTAAGAAAAATGTCAACCTTAGGGATTCCTGGGAACTTCCCTAGCACCGGGTTTTTCCCTATCCCCATGATGTCTCCCTCTATCATGGTATCTCTTTCATTGCTCTCCCACTCCATCCCTGTTTCAGCTCGACCATCCCATTCCCTTATGTTCTCAACCCCCATCTCCTACCCTCCACTGCCCACCCCTCATCCCCAGTTTACTCACATAGATCTCATCTATCTCCCCTTCCCAGGGCAATCCATGCATCTGTCTTTGGGTCCTCCTTGTTAGCTAGCTTTGCTGGAGCTATGGGTTGTAGTCTGGTTAGACTACTAGCAACAGTGGAGAAGGTGCCTGAACTTGCTTACCCCAGTAATCAGATCGGTGAATATCCTAGCTGTCATCATAGAGTTACTGGAAGCAGATACAGAGATCCACAGCCAAACACCAGGAGTCCAGTCAAAGAGAGAAGAGCAAGTGCATCAAGATCATGATGGGGAAACCTACAGAAACAACCAAACCAAACTAGTGAGAATTCATGAAATTTAGATCAATAGCTGTGGAGCCTGCATGGGACTGGACTAGGCCCTCTGCATAGTGACAGTTGGGTACCTTGATCTGCTTAAGGGGCCCCTGGTGGTAGGATCAGAATCCATCCCTATTACATGAGCAGGCTTTTTGGAACCCACTATCTATGATGGGGCACCTGTACAGCCTTCAGGAAGGAGGAGGGGCTTGGACCTGCCTCTACTAAATATATGTACCTCCCCATGGAAGGCCTTACCTTCTTGTAGCGGGGAATGGGGGGGATGGCTTGGGAGGGGGAGGTTGGAAGGGAAGGAGGAGGGAAGAGGGGGATCTTTGATTGGTATGTAAAATGAATAAAAAATTTCTTAATTAAAAAAAGAAAAATGTCAAGATTAGGCATGCTTTGTCTTCCTCTCAAACATCATTTTTAAGATTTGAATTACTGCTACAACCTCATAAATAGAAGTATTTTTCAGCCTTTTAATTACCATAAAATGTCTATGGAAGGAATGCTTACATTTAAATATCCTGAGATTTTTGTTTGTTTATGTGTGGCATGTGCTATGTTCACATGTATAGGCATACATGGGGATGCATGTGTCAGAGGTTGGCATCTGAAAATGTCAAATGACAAGAAAAATATCTTTTGATTTTGATTTTTTAATAATATGTGTGCACATGTGAGTACAGGTGCCCAGTACAAGTACAAAGGGATTGGATCCTTTGGCGATGGAGTGGGTACAGAGAACAGAACTTGGGTCTTCCGCAAGTGCTCTGACCCCTGAGCCAGCTTTCTAGGTCCCATAGGTCTCATCCTTCATCATTCTTTACCTTATATGCTGAGGAAGAATCTCTCATTTGAACTCAGAACTTGTTGATTCAGCTAATCTAGCTAGACAGCTTGCTGCAGGGATCCTGTGTGTACCTCCTGAACACTGGGATTAAAAGTGGACCACCATGCCCTTCTGGCATTTATGTGGGTCCATAAACTCTAGTATGCACCTTTACAGCAGTTTGCCCAGCAGCCATCTCCCCTCTCCATACCTCTGTCCCAAGAATTTTATTGAGCCAAACTTGAATTATCATTCACCTGTTTCATAGGAAAGTCCTCCCTATAAAAGACAGCTTCATCTTCCTCAGGGTTGGCTGTATGACGGAGACCCTGGGGTGAGAGGAGCTGGGCCGTCAAGGTTTTCTTCAACTTTGCAGCTAGGTGTCACTCTTTCCACTCATCCTTGCAGAGCTAACACAAAAACAACATACAGCAAAAAGCTGCAAGGGTCTTAAAGGAGACCTTGGGCACCAGTTCATGGATGAATCACCTCTTGAAAGGTTTCCCAAAATAGAAGCCACTGCATCTTCAACAGAAAGTGTGAACTCCTAATCTCCAGATGACAATTTGTCCCACAGGTATCTTTTCCTAAGATTGATTAAAAACAGTCCCACTTCTAATACGGTGTGCCCATCATCCAGTGTCCCCACTTTTTATAATAAATAAATACTTTTAAAATATTACATAATAAATACTTGATTTACTTAGATAGTATTACATATATAAATATATTATTTTATATTACATATTTTATATTTTATGTGTTATTTTATATGTTTACATATTATATAAAACATTATATATTAAATATCACTTAATAAACACTTAAATAAATGAAATAAATACTTAAATAAATGAAAATGTCAAATGACAAGAAAAATACCTTTTGATTTTGATTTTTTAATAATATGTGTGCACATGTGAGTACAGGTGCCCAGTACAAGTACAAAGGGATTGGATCCTTTGGAGATGGAGTGGGTACAGGGAACAGAACTCAGGTCTGTTCCCTGTACCCACATAAAAGTAAAGCCTATTTAGCAAAGGTTGGGGGAGGACTGTGGATCAAACTCAGGGCCTTGCACATGGTAGGCAAGCTCTCTACCACTAAGCAATATCCCCACTCTTTCTCTTCTTTGTCTTTTTGTTTGGGTTTGGATTTTAGAGACCAAGTGTCACTATGACCTGCTATACAGACCCTCACTGGCCTCAGTGGTCCTGCTGCCTCTGACTCACAAGGGCTGGGATTACATCATGTCCAGCCTTTTTGTTTTTAATTTCAAAACATGAAAAGGATTATATGTATAGAACAGTTTAAAGTTTTGAAATCATTTTCTCATCTTTGTTTTAGGCAACATTTATAATGACCAATAAAGTATGATTCTGATAGTCCCATTAACAGATGCAAATGACACATGGATCAGAAAGTAAGCAAGCATTAAGAGTGGGATGAAGAGCTGGGATGTAGCTCCATGGTAGAACACATATCTCACATACAAGGACTTGGTTCAGTCCCAACACTGCATAAAAGACATACTGGTACTAGAAATTGTTGCTATAACTTCTTGCTTTAACTCATGCACATGAATACACACACACACACACACACACACACACACACACACACACAAACACAAACACAAACACAAACACCAGAGCTTTCTGTCACCTTAGAAACTAATATTCTTTACAATAAAAAAAAGTTACTAAAGCCCTGATTATCGCTTTTAACAAAAACATCCCAAGTGGCTAACATGCGCCAGTCCCACAGGGCCAGACTCAGCGTGTGATCTAAAGTTCTGGGTGGGTTTTCTGCTGTGTTATTGTTGTTTCAGCTCTATGGCAGCCTTTCTTAAAGTCCTTATAATCTAGGCTAAATTAAAGCAAACTAAAAAGAAAATACAAGTTTTGTTTAGAGAAAACTTGATTTTTAAAAAAAAGTTAAAATTACAAAAGATAATTAACAGTACTTAGTTATTAAGTCGGTGGGGGAAGCAGAGGATGGGTTATGTGGTAAGTGGGCAGATGAATATAATGCTCAGATTAATAACTGATTGCAGCCATTTCACACTGAGAAGAAAATAAGATGGAAGTAAACCTGTGTCAAAGCAGGAAACAAGTACAATTACCTGAACAAAACTGACCACTGTCTTAGGGTTTCTACTGCTATGATAAAACACCACAACCAAAAACAACTTGGTGAGGAAAGACTTTATATCATCTACAGCTCTCAGGTCACTCCATCACTGAGGGAAATTAAGGCAGGAACTCAAGGCAGGACCCTAGAAACACGAACTGAAAGAAGCCATGGAGGAACACTACTTACTGGCTTGCTCTCCATGGCTTCCTGAGCCTGCCTTCTTACAGCACCCATAGCCACCATCTCACGGGTGGCACTGCTCACAGTGAGCTGGGCCCTCCCACATCAATGATCAATCAAGAAAATACACCACAGGCCAATCTGGTAGGAGCATTTTCTCAATTAAAGCTCCGTCTTCTAAAATGACTCCAGTTTGTTCAAGCAGACATAACACCAGCTAACACACCACTAAAGCTATGGAACTAAATAAGCAATTGTACGGCACCGTGGAAGGAATGCATGATTTGGAGTCAAATACCAACTTTGCTACTATCTAGGTTAGTGACTATAAAGAAATTGTAATTAACTTAGGCTTAAATTCTTTCTCTGTAAAGGAGTGGAATCATTCAGTAACACAAATTGTCATAAAGATTAAATGAGACACTACATGTACAAAATACAAAGACTGGTACTTGGATCCAAAAACAAAAACTTGCTGGTACCATTTAAAAACAACAACAACAGGGAGACAAGTAAACATAAATTAAGGGATAATGTGTTAGGAAGGTTTGAGTCACACCTAAAAGTTGTTCATCTCATTCAGCTGTAATCCAGGATGCATGAATCCTGTGTTCTTTCAACTACGGTTTCAAGGCAAGAGAACAGGGAGAGTCAGGCACCAGCTCCTACCTACTCATTTTCTGTCAATTAAGGCAAATTATTTTGCTATACCCCACTTCAAAAGAATAGGAAAGGAGAGTCCTTTACTTAATTCAAGAAGGGAAAGAGGCTGGGTGGTGGTGGCACACACCTTTGATCCCAAGCACTCGGGAGGCATGGGCAGGAGGGTCTCTGAGTTTGAGGCCAGCCTGGTCTACAGAGAGAGTTCTAGGACAGCCAGGGCTACACAGAGAAACCCTGTCTCAAAAAAAAAAAAAAAAAAAAAAAAAAAAAAAAAAAAAGGAAGGAAGGAAGGAAGGAAGGAAGGGAGGGAGGGAGAACCAGAACCAGAAATACTGGTGCTCACAGCCACCTTGTTTGCTTTAAGCTTTTAGCAATTTTGTGAAATTCTCGTCCATGTGAAACATACCCAGAAAACTTTCTGTTAAAGGTATCAACTTTTTATTGTTTTGAGTGTTTTGTGGTTGTTTGTTTGTCTGGTAGGGCCTCACTCTATAGCCCTGGCTTGTTTAGAGCCTCCTGCAGTCCTCCTGGTCTTAGCCCCTTGCCCCAGCTCCAGGATAACAGGCATGGGCCACCATAGCCTGCTTGGTTTTAGCTTTATGAGTTACTTCTTATACATCCTACCACATCTCTCAAACTATTCCTCAGCTGAAATGATCACAACACTGAAAAAAAAAACATATTTGCTCAAGCCACTCAGGTAACTTAAAAATATAAATTTAAAAATTCTTAAATCCAGAACTATACAGTATTTGGCAAATGTCAACATCAATACACCTGTCTACACAAGAGTTTGAGAAGCTAAGGAAGGATTAGATTCTGCTACATAGAAGTATTTAGTCAGCAATAATGTGAAGCTGACATAGCTACAGGAGATTCTAATTACAAAGGAATAAGAAATGTCTAAGATGATGGACAGGAGGCCAGAGAGACAGATGGCTTTGTCCGTAAATGGCTTACTCACACGCATGAAGACCTGAATTCAGCTGCCTAGCACACCTGGAAAGGCCAGGTGTGTACTGACAGTACATGTCTCAAGGCCTAACTCTGGGTAGTGGGAAACAGATGGATCTCCAGAGCTCACTAATCAGTCTATCCAACTGGAGAGGTCCAAGTTCAGTGAGTGACTGTCTCAAAAAGTAAAGTGGAGAGCAAAGAAAGCACCCCACATCAACCTCTAGCCTCCTCACACATGTGAACATATGTGTGCACACAAACTTACACATATGAATACTCCACACACAAAAGGTCATGGGTGGACTATTACACAATGAAAAAAAAAGTACTGAAATACAGTGTGATGACACTGTACCTCATAAAGGTATAAAATTATCTCTTAATTAAAATTTTTATTTTTTAAATAGAGAGAAAAATACTAAATTCCTAGGAAAAGTAACTAATAATTTTCACCAGGACTGAAAAGATGATCAGCAGTTAAGAGAGCACTTGCTGCTCTTCCAGGTGACACACATGACAGCTCATAATCATCTATAACTCTTCTTCCAGAGGATTCCACACCCTTTTCTGGTCTCTGCAGGTACCAGGCACACAAGTGGTATACAGACAAGCATGCAAGCAAAAAAGAAAAAAAATCCATACATATAAAATTAAAAGAATAGAACTCACTGATTTCATATTAACTGTCTAGTGTTTTTTGTTTTTTGTTTTGTTTTACTTTTTACTTTTTTTGGCTCTTCTAGGGGGCCGCCACCCAGCTCCCAAATAAATCACACATGGAGGCTTATTTTTAATTATACATGCCTGGCCTTAGCTTGGCTTATTTCTTGACAGCTTTCCTTAACTTAAATTATCCCATCAACCTTTTGCCTCTGGGCATTTTCTTTTCTTACTTCTGTATATCTTACTTTCACTCTTACTCTGTGGCTGGCCCCTAACATCCTCCTCTCTTTGCTCTCTTGCTCCCTCTTCCTCCCAGATTTCTCCTCTTTTAATTTTCTCCCCCTGCCAGCCCTGCCTTTCCTTTCTTCTGCCTTGCTGTTGGCCATTCAGCTCTTTATTAGACCACTGGGTGTTTTAGACAGGCAAAGTAACACAGCTTCACAGAGTTAAACAAATGCAATATAAACAAGAGTAACGCACCTTAAAATAATATTCCACAGCAGTCTAGACTCAGCCCACAGGGCAGGAGAAGTCACAAGGTGTGGGTGTGTTCTATGACCTGGAGTTCAAATGAGCTTGTGAAAATGAGCAGGTTCTTCAGGAAGTTGGTGATGCTAATTGAGAGGTATTGATAAAAGAAAATATCAAAAGACATGAATTCCAGCCAGAATAGCAAAAATAAGCAATCTTACAGAGCCACATGGGCTCCTCAGCTTCCCTTTCCTAGAGGCAGGGAGCAGCACAGGGCCTTGGCAAGCTGCTGAGCAGGAACAAAGAGGGACCACAAATCACCAAGGACTGTTCACTTCTGTCAAGCTTTCCCGGGGACACTTTTGTTAGATCTGAAGGGCTGACAATTCGCCCTGGGCACTTTATGTCACAAAGGGTAAGACGGACTCTCACAAAAGGGCTTCTCTCCAGGCCTCAGGGTTTTGCCTGAAAGCAAGAGAAAATCTTGATTTCCGAATCTAGGTGCTGAGCCAAACCAATGCACCATGGCTGCAGCTGACACACCTTCTAACCTCTCTCCTTCCTCTGTCTTGTCCCTGCCTCCCTGTTTACTTCAATCCAAGAAATTAATTCAATGGTTGGGGCTTCCATTTCCTTCTCCACTTGCATTTTTCTTTTTCTCATTTTTAATCCCCTAATGCCTTACTCCTTCAGATAATACTGCTCGGATTCTAACCAGGAGATCCGGCTTTCGGCAGCAGGAGCAGAGCGTTTTCTACCTGCCCATCCTCATAGCAGACAGTGGACAGCCAGTTCTCAGCAGTACCGGCACACTCACCATCCAAGTGTGCAGCTGCAATGAAGATGGCCACGTCATGTCCTGCAGCCCAGAGGCCTACATGCTCCCAGTCAGTTTGAGCCGGGGTGCTCTCATTGCCATCCTGGCCTGCATCTTCGTCCTCTTAGGTGAGCTGGTGGCTCTGTGTGTGCATGTGTGTGTGTGTTGTGTGTGTGTGTGTGTGTGTGTGTGTGTGTGTGTGCATGTGTGTGCATGTGGTGAGGGGGGGAGTCCATATGCTTTTAGACATGAGTCAGTTAACCTCCTATGGCAGCTACTCAGAACTGGTCTTCTTCTGCCAAGCTTACTTCAGAAGGCAGTAGAGTGAAGCTTGGAGAAAAGTACAGAAGTTGATGACAGTCCCTTCCCTCAAGGCCTCTTTGGCAAGACTAGAGCAGATGGGTTGATCAAGGATCTATTGTAGGTCTGAACACCATCCTAGGCACTGGGATTAATGAGACAGAAACACCCTGGCCTTCATAGTTTATTTCTTGTGACACAAGTTCATATTGACATGCTAGAACCAAAATTACATGGGAGAGGATATGATAGTCATATCTTCAGATCCATTTCTAATAAGTAGCTAAATCACGGAGATTGAACAAAAGGCCCAAATCCAAATGTCTGAAGCAAAGCCAGCTCTGACAAGGAGGTCCCCCTTCCTCGGTGGCACTCTTCTCCTGGATGTTCACGCACAGATGCTATAGGAAGTTAAGTGTTAAATTCCTAGCTCTGTTTCCACAAAGAAAAAAATATAATGCACTAGGAATTTAAATTGAAATAGACTTACAGGCAAGCATGTATATTCTTGATCTCTACTTTACCTAAACCCAAGACACAAAGTCATACCAAAGAAAGAAATTCACTGTAGAAAATGTCAGTCAGCATTGCATTGACTTTCTAGTAGGGTTGTGGAACAGACTTCTCAAAATACATTTTAAAATATAATGTGGGCTTTGGAATATAAATAACCCTCCAGAGACAGTTGTTATGGCTCCTGGCCCTTGGCTGTATGGACAAGTAAAACCTGCCTGTAATTCCTGAAGTGTCCATAAGGTGGCACTGAGAGACCTTGAGTGCAGAACAAGAAATGTGGTTTTTTTGGGTTTTTTTTTTTTTTTTTTTTTCCTCTTTTAAGTAACCTGCTCCTAGGAGAAATTTCCAGGGTGGCTGGCCTTGCTTCTGTCTTTGGAAAATGCTGTAAGTTCATCCTGGCCCACAAAGAGCCAACATCACAGAAGGATTGATTGATTTAAAGAGACTGGCTCAAAGTGCTGTGCAAGAGATAATTTAGCTTGTAAACTAGGACCCATCTTTTAAACTGTACAGAGTCAGATGTTTCCAAAAGCCAAGGTAAACATGAGTGTCATAAAATCCCACTAGGTTCATGCTTGTTTACTTCTAAAAGAGCACAACCCAGGTTAAACACAAGTCACACAACTCCAAGGTTGATTTGTACACACACACGGATAATTAAACATGTTCATTTGGTCATTTGGACAATATTTACTTGGGGGGTAGACTTTTTTCATGCATTGGGCATGTAAGCAGTTATGCAGTTCCTAGAAAACCGTGTGGCCCTGTACACCACACCTACAGAACATACAGCATCAGCCTTCCCACAACTGATATTCTTCTCTCTGAACTCGGACATTCTTCATCTGAGTAGAACTGTTTTTCTCAAAATTTCATTTTAAGGCATAATTTAATGCTCATTATTTATAACAGATTTTATGTTAAAAAAAAAAATAAGGCAAGTTGATACTTATTCTTGAGGAGCTGACTAGTTCTACATCTGCCTAATTCTGTAGACCTATCAGAATTCTCTCCAGCATATACTTAGAGATTTTAATGGGTTTTGTTTTTTGTTTTATTAAATACAGGTTTTTTTCTTGTATAATATATTCTGATTATGGTTTCCCCTCCCTCTTTCCCTCCCAGTTCCTCCCCATCTCCCTCCCATCCAGATCCACCCCTTTCTGTCTCACATTAGAAAAGAGGCTTCAGGAGGACAATAACAAAATAAAATGTAGTAAGATTAAAAACAAAAGCAAACACTTTGGAATAAAATAAGACAAGCAGAAGGAAAAGAGCCCAAGAAAAGGCAGGAAGAAAAAAAATACAAATGCAGATACACATTCATTCCTATACTCAGGAAACTCATAAACACACAAAATAGAAGCTATTATTTAAATGCAAACAGCCTGTGGGGGAGGGGAGAATACAAAAATAGAAATAAAATAAGTAAAAATTAAAGAAATAAAATTTTAAAATAGAAGGCCCTGACATGACTTTATAAGACAAGGAACCTCCATAGATGCTGTTGAGTTCCCTTTCTGTTGGCCATCTCCTCTGGTCAGGAAGCCGACCGTAAGAGTACTTTTCCCTTGAAGGAAACTGAATTTTCATTTTCAAGTGGTTATCAATTGCAGGTAGCTTCTGGGTTAGAGACTGGAGGAGGCATGTGTCCACTTCTTTCAGCTCTAGCATGGGACCAGTACAGGCCCTGTGCATGCTGCTTCAGTCTCTAAGAGTTCATATGAACTTTTATCATGTTGATTCAGAGAGCCTTGTTCTCCTGATGTCCTCCTTCCACTCTGGCTCTTACTCTGCCTCCTCTTCCTTAGAGTTCCCTCAGCCCTGAGGGGAGGAATTGGATGAAGACAACCCATTTAGAGTTGAGAGTCCCAAGGCGCCTCCTCTCTCTCTCTTTCTCTCTCTCTCTCTCTCTCTGTACTATCTGGCTGAGCAAAGCACTGATCTATGAGTATAGCAAAATGTCATTTGGAGTCATTTTACTATTACATTCTTTTACTACTACAACAGTAGTATTGGTTTTTTACCCTAGGTCCCTGGGCTATCTAGTCTCGGGTTCTTTTCAACCAATCAGTGTCAGGAGTATCATCTCATGGAATGGATCTTAGGTCAAATAAGATACTGGTAGGTTATTTCCACAAGCTTTGTGACACTATTGCACTAGCACATCTTGAAGAAAGGACACCATTACAGATTAGAGAGTTTGTAGCTGGGTTGATGTTTACCTCGCTCTTTGGCAGCATTCAGTGTACCTTCCTGTACCAAAGACACTAGCTCTACTTCTCCATGTTCAATGAGCTGTGTTTATGTTGTCTTCAGCAAAGAGGTCTTGCCATCTATTTATGGAGAGCAGCCTATAGACTTGGCAACAGCCTGGGTTGTTTAGGGATTCCTATGGGACCTATCTGGCTAACAATTCAATTAGATGCAACCCATTCTCAGTACTGGAAGGTTCATTTGGTGACAAGGGATAGCCAGTAAAGGCTCTGTCTCCCTGATTGGCAATTTTTTTATCACATTTATTTATGTATATATTTTAGGAAATTCAACTGTATTAGGCTTCCATACTGCCCCTCAACTGGCCCCTAATTTTAGCTGTCTCACCCCACATTCCCTCCTTAGTCCCCCTCTCATGTCTCCTTCCCTACTTGATCTCCCATTCCAGTCTGCCCCGCCTCCATATCCATCCATAACTATCTAATCTATTTCCCTTTCCTAGGGAGACCTATGTGCCTCACCTAGTTCCTTATTCTATACCTGACTTCTGTGGTTCTATAGATTGTAGCTTGGTTATTGTTGACTTAACAACTAATATTCCATGTAAGTGAATGCATACCATATTTGTCTTTCTGGGTCTGGATTACCTCATTCAGAATGATTTTTTTTTCCTAATTCTATTCATTTACTTGCAAATTTCATTTGTTTAATGGCTGCGTAATACTCCGTTGTAAAATGCATACATTTTCTTTATCCATTCTTCTATTGAGGGATTTCTTGGTTGTTTCACCTTCCTGGCTATTGAGTAGAGCACCAATAAACACAGTTGAGCAAGTGTTTCTGTGGTAGGATAAATCGTTTTTGTATATGCTCAAGAGTGGTATAACTAGATCTTGAGGTAGATTGATTCCCATTTCCCCTAGGAACTGAGACACTGATTTCTATAGTGGCTGTACAATTTGCACTCCCAATAGGAATGAATAAGCGGTCTCCTCACTCCACATCCTTGACAGTATGAAATGTCCCTTGTTTTATTGATCTTAGCCATTCTGATAGTTGTAATATGAAATCTCAAAGTAGTTTTGGTTTGCATATTTCCCTAGTGATTAAGGATGTTGAACATTTAAAGAAATGTTTCTTAGCCATTTGAGTTTCATCTTGTGCCCCATATCTTAATTGGGTTATTTATTTTCTTGATATAATTTTTTTTAGTTCTTTATATATTTTGGATATTAGTCCTCTATCAGATGTATAGTTGTTAAAAATCTTTTCCCATTCTGTAGGCTGTCATTTTGTTCATGTCCTTTGCCTTACAGAAGCATTTCTGTTTCATGAGTCCCATTTATTATTTGTTGATCTTAGTGCCTGTACTATTGATATTTTGTTCAGGAAGTTGTCTCCTGTGCCAATGCATTCAAAGCTATTCCCAACATCTTCCATCAGGTTTAGTGTGTTGGGTTTTGTTTTTAAGGTCTTTGATCCACCTGGACTTGAGTTTTGTGCATAATAAGTAGCCATTAGGATTAGTGTACATGCAACCATACAGTTTGGCCAGCACCATTTACTGAAGATGCTGTCATTTTTACATTGTGTAGCACTAGTTTCTTATCAAAAATCAGTGTACACAGGTATCTTCACTTGGGTCACTCTGGGTCTTCAATTCAATTCCATTAATCAGCTGTTTGAGTACCATGCAGTTTTTATTACTATAGCTCTGTGGTACAATTTGAGGTTGGGATGGTGATACCTCTAGCAGTTCTTTGATTATTCAGGATTGTTTTAGCAATCCTGGGTTTTATGTGTTTTCATGTGAAGCTGAAGATTGTCCTTTCAAGATCTATGAAGAATTGTGTATGTATTTTGATGGGATTGCATGGAATCTGTAAGTTGCTTTTTGTAGGACCATTTTTACTATGTCAATCCTATTGATCCATGAGCATGGGAAATCTTCCCATCTTCTGATAGCTTCTTCAATTTCTTCAAAAATTTGAAGATTTTATCATACAAGTCTATCATTTGCTTGGTTAGAGTTAACTACAGATGTTTTATATTATTTGAGGCTGTTGTGAAGGGTGTTGCTTTGTTGATTTCTTTCTTAGTCCATTTGTCATTTGTGTATAGGAAGGCTACTGATTTTTGTGAGTTAATTTTGTTTCCAGCTTCTTTGTTGAAAGTGTTTATCAACTATAGGAGCTTCCTAATACAATTTCTAGCTTCACTTATGTATACTAATATATAATTTGCAAAGATGTTTGACTTCTTCCTAATTTGTATAACTTTGATCTCCTAAGATTGTCTTATTGCTGAAGCTAAGACTTCAAGTACTATATTCAATGGGTACAGAGAGAGTGGATAACCTTGTTGTGTTTCTGATTTTAGTGGAATTTGAGTTTCTCTCCATTTATTTGTATGTAGCCTATGGAATAGCTATAAACTGCCTTCATTATGTTGAAGTATGTCCCTTATATTCCTAACCTTTCCAGGGCTTCTTATCATGAAGGGGTACTGGATTTTGTCACAGGCCTTTTCTGCATCTAATGAGATGATTTTGTAGTTTCATCTTTCAATTTGTTTATATAGTGAATTACATTAATTAATTTAGGCATAATGAACTATCCCTGCATCTCTGGGATATGCCCACTTGATCACAGTAGATGACCTTTTTGATGTGTTCTTTGATCCAGTTTGCAGGTATTTTATTGAAATTTCTTGCATTTACGTTCCCAATTTAAATTGGTCTGTAATTCTCTTTGTTTGGTCTTCATGTGGTTTGAGTATCAGGGTAACTGTGGCTTTGTAAAACAAATTGGGCAATGTTTCTTCTGTGTCCATTTTGTGCAATAATTTGAGAAGTATTGGTCTTAGCTCTTTTTTGAAAGTCTGGTATAATTCTACACTAAAACCATCTGGCCTTGGGCTTTTATTTTTTGAGGCTTTTAATTACTGCTTTCATTTCACTAAGGAGTGTAGGTCTGTCTAAATTGCTTATCTGATCTCAATTTAACTTTGGTAAGTGGTATATATTGAGAAAATTATCCACTTCTTATAGATTTTTCCAATTTGTTGGAGCACATGTTTTTGAGGTATGTTCTTATAATTCTCTGGATTTCCTTAGTGTCTGTTGTTATATTCCTCATTTCATCTCTAATTTTGTTAATTTAGATCTTTTATGTGTCCTTTAGTTAGTTTGCATAAGGCTTGGTCAATCTTATCTTCTCAAAGAACCAACTCTTTGTTTCATTGATTCTTTATATATATATATTTTTATATTAGCCCTGAGTTTGATTATTTCTTTACCTCTACTCCTTTGGGGTGTAGTTTTATTTTTCATTTCAGAACTCTCAAGTGTGTTAAGTCACTAGTATGAGACCTCTACATTATTTTCTGTTTGTTCTATGTAGGCACTTAGTACTATGAACCTCCCTCTTATAACCGCCTTCATTGTGTCCCATAAGTTGTTGGGTATTGGTTTTCATTCAATTATAGAAAGTCTTTCATTTCTTTCTTGATTTCTGTCTTGACCCATTTTTTATTCAGAAGTGATTGTTCAGTTTCCACTAATTTGTAAACTTTCTGTTATCTTTTGTTGTTGATATCCAGTTTTAATCCATATTGGTAAGACGGGATGCTATTTCAATTTTTCTTTTATATCTGTTGAGACTTGCTTTGTGTCAGAGTATGTAGTCAATATTAGAAAGAGATCATTGAGCTGCTGAGAATGTATATTTTTCTGTAATGTTCTTCTGTAAATATACTTGGTTTATGACATCAGTCAGCCCCAGCATGTCTGTTTTTGTCTGGTAGACCTGTCTATTGGCAAGAGTGAGGTACTGAAGTCTCCCACTATCTAGGATCAATATGTGATTTAAGCTGTAGTAGTGTTTCTTTTATGAACTTGGGTGCTCCTATGTTTGGTACATAGATGTTACAAATTGCAATGTCCTCTTGGTAGATTTTTTTCCTTTGACAAATATACAGTGTCATTCCTTATCTCTTCTGATTAGTTCTGTAACACTGACAGTGTCTTGCTACATTGCCCATACACGCCTCAAACTCCCAAACTCATATGTTATGCACTCCTCCAGGCCTAGACTAAAACCACATACACACACACACACACACACACACACACACACACACACACACAAACACACACACACAAACACACACACACATACACACACACACTATGCCTGGCCACTTTAAAACTTTTTCCATTTTCTTTCCTAGTATCTTTTAAAATACCTGTCCCTACCATTACCATATGATGTGAGTGACTTCCTTTTCAATATTTCCAGCAGAACTCAGGAGCCTTGTCTTTGTACTTAATAAAGCAACAGTTGTGACCCAAAGACAGCCTTTATTGGTGTGTATTAATGTTAATCTCACTAACACTGCTACTTCATAAGGACAAGTTCATATTATAATTGTTATAATCAAAGTTGTTTCCTTGTTGCTTAGCAGAGCCTTTCAAAATATATGTTTGCTATCTCACAAATATGAAAGTTCACTTAGAAATCCATTTTTTCTATGCTGTCTTAAATTCAAATCATGCTCCAGTCTTTCCCACTAAGTTCAATTCTCCTACCCAATTCCTTAGAATCCTATTGGTCTCTTTTCCTGAAAGCCTGCTGTTCTTGATCAAGCCTCATATTTTCACACATAGAGAAAATATTCAAGAGTATGTCAGTATGTATTTTGTCACCAATTAAGTACATTCACAAAAATGAGGTATTAACATCATTAACTGCAATTTGTGCTCAACAAAAACTTTAAATCTGTTGTTGTGAGCTTTCTTAGTCAGTAATCTCTTAGTTCACAGATGACAATACACCACCATTGCCACCACCCTGGATAAACCTGGGGTTTATTTTGCAGTGTTGTCAAACTGTCACCAGCTGTAACAAAGCACACCAGGAAAAAAATCAATAGCAGTTCTATAGCTGAAACCTCAACCCACTTCCTGGAAAATGTTTTCAGTTACAAAGATAAACAGTTCAATGGGATTATCTCTATCTTTCCTTTAAACCCCAGTGAACACACCTAGGGAAAAAGCATTTGTTGGGATAAACTTTTATCCAAACCTTCAAGAGCACATCTAACAATGTGGCACTTCTTTGGTACCATACTGAACTATATAAAACATCACTGTTCATTCCTTCTCTTCCATGAAAACCACTGGCTCTGGAAAGTCACAAATACCCCTCTAATTAAAGGTCTTGTTGAGGAATCTGAGGTTACAGGGCTTGGTCATTTATGCTTTTAATAGTATTTTTATTAATTTTTTGAGAATTTCATCTACTGTATTCCCATCATATTCACCCTTAAAATCTCCTAGATCCACCCATTCTCATACCACCCCCAACTTGGTGTCCTTTTAAAAATAAATAAATATCCAACCACTCCAATTTGTGCCATCCACATACTTGAGTGTGGAGCTATCCACTGGATCAAGGTTGAACTACTAAGAGCCAAACTCCTGAAGAAAACTCCAGAAATTATCAACTGTCCAAAGCTCCTCAGTTAGGTTTGTAGTCTGATAAGCCTCTTCCCACAATGCTTAGTTTTTGAAAGAGGCATTAAAAAGGCAATTACTTTTGCTCACATCTACCTTATATGTCTACATTCATTCTTTGTCAATATATAGTTGTATTTATAGTAGAATCCTATTAAGATGCTAATGCAAGAAAGCAAAATGTCTGCATTCCGACAATCTCACCTACATGACATATTTAGATTACAGTAAATGTATACTACACTCGTTATTCTACAAGCAGGATGCATGATCATATCTTCCACAGCAGGGCACCGTGCTTTGTGTCATCGCAGTGGGATTAGTTTGCTGTGTGTCTATATACAGTTTCAAAACAATAGGCTTCTGCGAAGCTATGCAGCTTCTTATGAATGGACTGAGGACTCACAAAGCTTCATTTACCCACAAGGCAGGAGTGAGGATCAGGCAGACCGGTACTAGTTAACTCCCTGCGGTTCCAAACACCCAAAACTGACCTGGCTGCCACTCTGAACCCTTCCTGTCCCCGTGTTTAATAACGCGTTCCTGGGGGCTGACACGGGCCGTTCTTTGTGTTCCCGGCAGTGCTGGTGCTGCTCATCCTGTCCATGAGGCGGCACCGGAAACAGCCCTACATCATCGACGACGACGAGAACATCCACGAGAACATCGTGCGCTACGACGACGAGGGGGGCGGCGAGGAGGACACGGAGGCCTTCGACATCGCGGCCATGTGGAACCCGCGCGAGGCGCAGGCGGGCGCCCCCAAGACGCGGCAGGACATGCTCCCCGAGATCGAGAGCCTCTCCCGCTACGTGCCTCAGACGTGCGCCGTCAGCAGCACGGTGCACAGCTACGTGCTGGCCAAGCTCTACGAGGCCGACATGGACCTGTGGGCGCCGCCCTTCGACTCCCTGCAGACCTACATGTTCGAGGGGGACGGCTCTGTGGCTGGCTCGCTCAGCTCCCTGCAGTCGGCCACGTCGGACTCCGAGCAGAGTTTCGACTTCCTCACAGACTGGGGGCCCCGCTTCCGGAAGCTCGCAGAACTCTACGGGGCGTCGGAGGGGCCTGCGCCCGTGTGGTGACGGAAGCCCGGAGGCAAACGCGCATCCAAATGCAGACGTTCTCAAAGGCTGCTTCTCGTGCACGAGGTGTGGCCACCCCAGGAGCAATATTGTGCTGGTCGGTGAGGATGGGAGTGAGTGACCGAGCAGAGCTCTCTCTGGATCAGCTTTACTTGGTTAGACTAAGTTAAATAGTCAGAAGGAAACCCAGGAAGAAGAGGGTAGAATCTCCAGTTACCTTTTTCAACATTTTTTTCCTGACACTGTATTCAAAGGCTTGAAATATTATAAACAAAGCTTGGGTTTTTGTTTTGTTTTGTTTTTTGTTTTTGGGTTGTTTTGTTTTGTTTTGTGGGTTTTTTGTTTGTTTGTTTGTTTTCTTTTTTTCTTTTTTTTTTTTTTTTTTTTTTTTACATATTCACCAAGGCCTTTGACATTTTGCCACCACGAAAAGTACAGAGATTGCAGTTGAAGGCAGGGAACAAGTCCTACTCTAGAATCTATTTTGTCTTTATTCTCCATTTCAGATTGTTTTTCCGGATCATGAAATCAACACACACACACACAAGCTGTAAGGTAAAGAAGGACTGATGCCTGAGGTTGTTCTCTGTCCTCTACACATGTGCTACGATATGTACACACATGAAATCAACACACACACACACACACACACACACACACACACACACACACACACACCACTAAAAAATTATTCCTCAGTGAAATTGTTCTACTTGTTCTAAGATGGATAGTATTTCATTTAACCCTTTTGAGACAAGGTTAAGACTGGGCCTTGCATGGGGGATGGGTGGGAAGGGTAGGGGAAGGAAGAGACATTGACTTGTGCTCAAGTTCAACAGCTGAACTAAGAGTTGGCATTACAGCTACTCCAGTGTCAATGAGTCAGAGTGCACTGTTCTCCTCTCAGCTCTTTATGCCCCTGCAAAAGTCAGAATGAAACCAGAAAAGCTGCCTCTTTTGCACTGTAGATGTCTCTTCCATGTGCCAAATGTGGAGATTAGATGCAACAAACGAAAGCCAAATAAAAAGAAGTATCTGATAAAAGCATGGGTTAGAAGGCTTTCCTAATCTGTGTAAGGTCAATCCAAGGGATGTTTACATACTGTAGATAACCTACTTGAACAAAACCAGTATTATAGAAAAGAAATGGATGTAAGAGAATTACATGTAAAAGTTTTGTATATTTGTTAATAATTTTGTTAATAAATATGATGTACTACATCTCAGTACCTTAGCACTTCTTTTAATAAAAGCTAAATAGAAGGAAAGGTGAACTTCACGTTTGTTTCATTGCTGAGATCTGTGATCCTGGATTACCCACTGGTTATCCGGATTGGGACTGATTCATTGCACAGAAGCACTGTCAGAGATGCATGAGATTGTGCATTCTGCTTTGATTGCTGACCAGATTAATGATATGGTTCAAATAGTTAATGTAATGACAACCTCATTATTATATCTGAAAAAGGCCAAAAGACTGTTTAATATTAATGACACAATCATGAATTTTGCTTGTATTTTTAATTTTGTGAGAGGTCATATAACAGCAGAGGTAAGATATTGTGTTATTTTCAATTTTATTTCACTGCCAAATCGAATACAAATCACTTTATTCACTGTGGAAAAGCTCACATGGGGTAAAATATGGGAGGGGGCATATGTTATTCACCTTTTTCCCTATAGTAGTTAAAACAAGTAGTATATAATATATACCTAACTGTATCCTTTATATACATCAGTTTAACAAGTGCTTAGTTAACACAGTTGGAAAAGATCCCTTTCTTTGGCATCATATTACTGAAGAATTGCTACACAGTTATCAGGAAAATTGTGAACAAAACAGTCTTCTGATAATCTGGATTATAGCAGTGGCTGTCAGATTTTACCATGTATCAGAATCAAATGCAGGACTCATTGAACTCACCCACAGAATTTCTGATGCAGTAAATGTGAAGCTATTTGCCATTGTAACAAGTTACCTGGTAGTACTGATGCAACTGGTACAGGGACCACATTTTGAGAATATCTGATATACTGCTCTGTTTCTCTGCCTGCCCCCCCATTCCCCCTTCCTTCCCCTCTCCTTCTTCACTCCCCCCACTCTCTCTCCTATCTATTTTCTCTCTGGAAGACTTTATTACCATCCCACTTGAGGCCTACTCTATCACCATAGTGTTGTTGGTAATTTCTTCTAATAACAAAAATCATTTTTCAGAAATGTACAAGAATAGTGATCAAAGACTTCAGAAGACAGATGAGAGTCTTGCAGCCAGTGGGATGTGATTCTGTGCTCATCACATGCTATACTAACAGCCCAAGTCTCTTCTGCATCGTTTTGTAGATGAACTTTTACTGCCCATGAAAGGCAAGCAACTCTCACTGAACCTCCTTGAGAGTGAAGTGCAACATAAAAATACATTTAACAAAGCAAGAGAATAAAACAGAAACGTGCCCAAACTAGATTCTCCAGCATACTGATTTTGTAAAGTTGGGCAAATTAACCTCAATAACATCCTTCCTTTCTTCCATAAGCTCTGAGTATAATTTCACAACTATTTCATTTCATGTTGCATGCTTTACAGCTGTTACCTTAACCATGCAGGGGGGGGAAGTATCATGCCCCACATCCTGTGAAGTCAGTCCCCATGATAATGGGCATGAAGTGATTAAGCAATTCCCTGTGTCTTTTAGTTCCTGGGAGGGTGCTTAATAGTGCGATACAGGAAGTTGAAAGAAGCCCACAATAGGAGATTCACTGCAGCTCATATTGTAAACTGAAAGAGATTCTAGCCCTCCAAATGGATTTGAAAAAATCCCTTTCTCCTGCCATAGTGAGCCAGCATGCTGCTGCCTCTTACTGGGGGCAGGAAAAGACAATAACTAAGCAGCAGGTGGTGTGTTCAGGCTAGTCCAGAGAGCCATAAAACCATTCCATTTCCTTGTTAAGGGTGAGTACAGTAGCCTGTGGATGGCAGACTGAGGGAAGCAGGGCATCTGTATGAGTCAACTGATTTCATACTCAATCTAAAACCACAGTCTCGATGAGAATACAAGCAAAAATTAAAATCACAATAATTTTTTAATCAAAAAAAAGATGTTTCAGCATAGCAGACAACAAAAAATGAAATGGCTCACACAAGAAAGAAACTAAGTTCTGAAAACAGAATCATTAGAAGTAAAAATCAGGATAAGCACATTGAATAATGTACAACTAAACCTTGATAGCAGAATGCCCAGAACATTGAAATAGCACTAGGACTTTTACTAACAGAAGTCACACTACACAATAGTTCCCATTATGGATCAGTTCACTATGAAGTCCATTTGCTGTTTCCCAGATAATAGAATGCATTTAAGAGGTTACTGTAAGTAACAAAACTTTTGTTTCGTTCTTAAGAAGATACTCATCAGAAAATAGACCAGTTAGCCTCTTTATTAAACCAATCTGAGTAACACATTTTCACAGTGTACAAAAGGATTATTCCACAAGAATTTCCCCCTTTTTGTCTAATTAAAAAAGGAAGGTTTTAACTTTAACATAGTAAAATTATATACAACCAAAACAGTTATCAAGAAAGAATTACAGTTACAATATCCAGTACATTTGTGTTTGGCAAAATCAGAGAAAATATTCTATTATCTATCTTATCTTTGTGAGTCTAAAGTTTCATATCTAATTTACCTTTTTATCATAGCTAAAGAAAATTTTAACTATGAATATTTAGTCTTCAACTCCATCAAAGACCCCAGAAGAGTGAAATGTTACCTAACCAAAAGGACATTTCATTGCCGGGACAGTCACTCAAAGTTCTGCAATGTTGTGGCATCCATGTTTAGCCTACAGGCTTAGTATATCTGACAGACATTTCTGAGAAGCAGGGAATTTTTAAGGACTGTCCTACTTTATCTTAGCAAAGTTTGGCAGTTGCTTTATTTTGCATCCTGCCTGTCCAGTTTGGACAGTATATTGTCAGTGATTGAGGCAAGGGCAATTTCTTTGCCCAAATGGCTAGCTTTTGCCATTTAAAAAAAAAAAAAAAAAAAAAACTCCATGTAGAGTTTCTTCAATGCCTATCATCTTCTCTGAAGTAGATTGGTGCTGCCAGGAGCAGACATGTCTCACTGTCATGTAAAGCTTTGGGTTATTAAACATATTAAATGCCATATTCTGTAGGTCTTTAAAGTGTTTGAAGATTATCTATGTAAATATATCTGTGTATAACCTTGAAAACATATCTAACATAAATATATGTTTAACTATTATAGCTGACTATTAATCTGTATTTTTAATTATACATTACATTTTTAAATGAGTTACATAAGCACAATAACCCAAACAAGAGTAGAAATATACGTGTAATATAACAACATTAATGTTAAATTTGTATCAATATACCAAAAAATCCATACCAACATAAAATATTTAAGACTAGTAGTTGCTTTTTGGTTTGAAAGTAGATTCAATAATCTCCCTTTTATCCTATCATTTCTATATACCCCTCTTTTTCTTTTCAGAAAGACATCCTTGAATCTGATCTCCTTTGTTCAGTTTTTTTCCTGACCATTACCAACAACAACTTGTAACCAAACCCCTTAAATGATAATAAATACCCATAACCCATCTTTTAGAAATATGGGTATTGTTCTCTAGACTACTTCCTGTTGTTTGGGGGTACCGATAATCTTTGGGGGAACCTTGAAGAAAATCAAGGTAATTGTTAGGTCTTGGCCTGAGTATTCTGTGAGGTTGGATCTATTCAGCCAAGAGCCTTGAAACTGTTCTGAATGCTGGATCACCTGGGCCATCCATTTTCATTGGTATCTGGTCCCCTTGTTCTGAAAATACATAAACTTTTAAAGGTAACATATATATTTACATTAATACAAGTATAGACTGCATTGTACACAAGTCAGCCAAAGATGATTTTTTTTGTTGTGTGTTTGAGCAGGTAAAATACACATCATGTGTCTTGTAGTACTTCTAGATTTATTTCTTTATGTCTATAGTCATGATTTCAGGGGGGGCTTTCTTTATCAAATATGATCATCTTTAACCTTGAACAAATACAGCCTTTTATTTTTTTTTGTGGAAATAAAAGCAAAACCTCTTCCACAAAGTAGTATATGTTTTGACTCCCATTTTGACATCAAACCATTTTTAAAATATATAGGTTGGTTTAAGCTTTTATAATCAAATGTGTCTTAGCAGCTGTTGTTTCTTTATCAGCCATGAGAAAAATCTAAAGACATCACAGAATCCAGAATCTCTGTGTATTTTCCATCTTTATGTGGTTTATTTCTTTAATATTACTTTACTCTCTTCTTGAGGACTTTATTATTTTAGAACTATGTATACTGTCTATATCTTCTTTGTTTTCTCCCAAGCCTATGTATATTTTTTAAACACAATGTAACCCATTTAGAGTTTTTTTAATCTGAATCTGTCTTTACTGCATATCTTTTCTATCTGCATGAGCAAAACCCCAAACCCATCACAAAATGTGCTATCAGAGCTTGTGCTGGCAGCTTA